GTGGTACAGCTTTCTGGGGCCAGGGCTGGGAGCTGCTGAGGAGCTTCCAGGGGTTAGAGCTGAGGGTTTTTTGGTTTGGGGTTTTGGTTTTGGGCTTTGGGTTTTGGGTTTTGGTTTAGGGTTTTGGGTATTGGTTTTGGGTTTTGGTTTTGGTTTTGGGGGCTTGGGTGCTTTGATGGACATAACAGGCCTTGGATTGCGTGACATCGAAACACGGCCATTGCCTTAAGTCTCCGGGATGGTTTGGTGTGGATATTTCTATAAATTAAGGTTCTTTTTCAGGTCCCCAAAAATCCTACGGCACCCGTCTTAAAATGGTATTGCGGGGTATGTACTGCGAGCGGGGTTGGTGGCGTGATAGGACCTTAAAGCACAGCATGACCAAAGGTGACGCCTTCCTCTGCCGAGCCACCTCCTGGAGGTTGTGGCACCGGCCACAGCCGCGTGGGCTTAGATCCATTTTCTTTGTTAGGGTTGACGGTTTAGGCCTTTCGGGATGCAATTTGGAGGGTTTAGGCTTGAAGTTTTAGGTGTAGGCCTTCTATTCCAGCCTTACAGAGGGTTTTGTTGATTGAAAACCGCAAACCCTAAACCCTATAATCCTAAACCAAAGGTTTTCTACACACTAGGCGGACAGGGCTTTGCTGAAGTAAAGGCGGCTTTACCTCGATCTCGTTTCTTGTGTACCAGAGGGCTGTTATTAGGGTTTAAGGTTTAGGTCTCTTCCCAGATGCAATAGTCTGGACGCGCTGCTTCCCAGCTGATTGGCAGAGTCTGGGTGCAAAAAAAGGGGAACTTACATGCATTCCGGTGTTGTGTGGGCTGGGGATTTGGCCCATGAGTCATTTAGGATTTAGGTTTCGGCTTCGTGACCTAGGGTTGTCTGTTGCCAAGATTTGGTGTCCCACAAAGAGCTCAGATACGGCTGATGACAAAAGTCCTGCATTGCCCAAAATAAGGAATACACCATAATTCCCATACTTTAGGGTCCTTAAGATAGTGCAGGATTTACATCATCAGCAGCAGGTATGCAAGTGTGCTAAAACCTGGCCTTGAACGTAATGAGCAGGGTTTGTAGGGCTTAGGGTTTAGGGTCTAGGGAAATGAATGCTCAACAACAGGCCATGGCCAACCCCTCTCAGACTAGACGTCAGAGAATCCGAGGCTGGTGCGAGCTTATCGCGCGGGCTCTGCAACTTGGAGGGCATTCATGCAGCGGCACCGTAACATCATACTTCCAGAGACTACGCACGCACCCAAAACAGCCCACAGCAGCCCACAAACTAGAAAGCTCTAACGTCTCAGGTTTGGGTCTAGGTTTCCTGGCACTGCGGCGCTTCGCCCGTGCTAGGAACCGTCCAGGATCGTCCCAGGCAGATCGCCGCATCTACTGCGAGAAGGCATAGATGCAGGAACGTAGAACGGAGAATCGGATCGCACTTTGCGTGCGAAGACTTGCTGCCAATTTTTTTGCAGTTGCTGAACCAAGAAGAGCACCATGCTGCTGGTTTCAGGAGTCAGGGTTTGGCTGCATCGATGTATTGGGTGATAGGCTCCCGCAGTTTGTCTCGGATTTGGGGCTTATACGGTTGACTTGTCATGGTAATGCTACGATTCTCCACTTCAACTCCAACATCATGTTCGACGGGATGCTCCGGAAGAACCTCGTGGACCATGCAGCCAGCACGCAAAGCGCACCCTCATGAACTGGCTCGAGCTGTCACAGCGACTTGCGACTTCTAGTTTCGTGCGCTTTGCAATCAAGATGGCCGCGAAGCAGGCGGGAACCGCTGCGGTTGCCTGTGCTGGTCTTGCCGGTCTGGGCTTTGTCGCCTCCCCGGATTCTGGGAATCGACGCGTGCCGGTTGCTGTGAAGGCCTCTGCGACGGCCTCTCCCGAGACCGGCAGCGCCGGCGCCTTCACGGTTGGGACGGCGGCCGCCACGGCTGGTGCCATGGCAGCATCCACCCGACGCAAGGGCCGAGCCACCCGAGTCGCCTCGCGTGCCGAAGTGGCCCCTGGCGAGAAAGTGGTGGGCATCGACCTGGGCACTACGAACTCCGCAGTGGCGGCCATGGAGGCCGGGGCTCCTACCGTGATCCCCAACGCAGAGGGCGCTCGCACCACACCCAGCGTCGTGGCCTACTCGAAGACTGGGGAGCTCCTGGTCGGGCAGATTGCAAAGCGCCAGGCCGTCGTCAACCCGGAGAACAGCTTCTACTCTGTGAAACGCTTCGTTGGTCGCCAGCAGGACGAAGTAGAGGAAGAGCTCAAGGAAGTGTCCTACAAAGTGGACTTCGAAGGCCAGAAAGTGAAGATCGACTGTCCGGTCTTGAGCAAGAAGTTCGCCCCGGAAGAGATCTCTGCGCAGGTGCTTCGTAAGCTGACTGGGGATGCGGGCACATACTTGAGTGCCAAGGTCCAGAAGGCCGTCGTGACCGTTCCAGCCTACTTCAATGACTCCCAGCGTCAGGCCACGAAGGATGCAGGAAAAATTGCTGGGTTGGACGTGTTGAGAATTGTCAATGAGCCCACTGCCGCATCGCTGGCGTATGGGTTGGAAAAGGCCAACAACGAGACGATTCTGGTGTTCGACCTCGGTGGAGGGACCTTTGATGTCTCTGTGTTGGAGGTCGGTGACGGGGTTTGTGAAGTGCTCGCCACTAACGGCGACACCCACCTTGGTGGCGATGATTTTGACAAGGTCATCGTGGACTGGCTGTCAGAAGATTTCCAAAAGACCGAGGGAATCGACCTCCTGAAGGACAGGCAGGCGCTGCAGCGTCTTACCGAGGCTGCGGAGAAAGCCAAGATTGAGCTCTCGGGCGTGCAGGAGGCCAAGATCTCCCTCCCTTTCATCACCGCCGATGCCACGGGTCCCAAGCATATCGAGCAGAGTTTGTCTCGTGCCAAGTTCGAGCAGCTCGCGAGCAAGCTCATCGCCCGATGCAGGACTCCTGTCGAGAATGCGCTGAAAGATTCCAAGCTAAGCGCCATGACATTAACGAGATCGTGCTCGTGGGCGGCTCCACCCGAATTCCTTCCATCCAGGCCCTTGCATCGGAACTAGTCGGAGGCAAGAAGCCCAACCAGAGTGTGAACCCGGATGAGGTGGTGGCCGTGGGTGCGGCTGTGCAAGCTGGTGTCCTGGCAGGTGATGTCAAGGATATCGTCCTGCTGGATGTAACACCCTTGTCCTTGGGTGTCGAGACGCTGGGTGGTGTGGCCACGGTCCTGATTCCTCGGAATACCACCATCCCAACCAAGAAGACGGAGGTTTTTTCCACTGCCACGGACTCCCAGCCATCCGTGGAGATTGTGGTGCTGCAGGGTGAGCGGCAGTTCGCAAAAGACAACAAGATCCTGGGAACATTCCGCCTTGATGGTGTGCCGCCAGCACCGCGAGGCGTGCCCCAGATCGAGGTGACGTTTGACATTGATGCCAACGGCATCCTCAATGTCGGGGCAAAGGACCGTGGCACGGGCAAAGAGCAGACGATCACTATCGCCGGATCCTCCACGCTGGACAAGACAGATGTGGATAAGATGGTGCAGGACGCAGAGGCCAACGCTGCCGAGGATGCCAAGCGAAAGGATAGTGTAGAGACCAAGAACAACGCAGAGAGCCTGGTCTACCAAACCGAGAAGCAGCTGTCCGATCTTGGTGAGAAGGTGCCTGCAGATCTGAAGGCCAGCATCGACCCCAAGCTGCAAGCACTGAAGGACAAGGTCGGCGAGGCGGAGCCGGACCCCGAGCTCCTTAAGACGATGACTAAGGATTTGCAGGAGGAGCTGATGAAGGTCGGCCAGGCAGCCTACGCCAACACCGGTGCCCCCGCGCCCGAGGCAGCAGCGCAAGGTGAGGCTGGAGCCCCACCGCCCGGCGATGCCAAGGCCAAGGACGACGTCATCGATGTGGATGGCCAGTGACGAGGGCCATCCGTGGTGCGACACCACGGCGACGCATGTCCGGTACGTGGCAGATTGATTTGTACAGTGTGCAGGATTTTGACTTCAGACTTTCGTTGCATGTCGGACCAATCGTGTGCGACTTGCTTTGGATGCAGCGAGGTGTCGCCTCTAGCAGGTCAGGTTTTCGCCAGCACGGCCATGTGCCGTCCGGGCCGCAGCTGTTTTAGACAGCCTCATGGGTTTCCCAAGATTGAGCTTTTCTGTCGCATACATGTGGGTTGCACTTGGAAGGGTTTGCTTGATGCACTGGGATGGGGTCGCACTCTAGATCCACAACTTGGGAAGCCACTGCTTAGCGTTTCGCACAGTTCCCCAGAGGCCGAATGGCCGATACAGACACAAAGACCCTGTACTACCTTGAAGAAAAGGCCCGACGGCTTGCCGGCACTTCCCCGACATCTCCCTAAGGGTCCATGTACCCAAATAGTATATACTTTGGCCTTAATGTAGTCCCTATATAGGTACTTTAGGGCCAATGTATATACCATTTAGGTACATGGACCCTTAGGGTCTGTGATTCGTGAAAAGAAATTGTGAAAACACAGCCTAGAATGCTTGCAATGCTACGTGACGATGAGAAGCTAAATCTGCTTGCAATGTGAGCCATATGCCACGCCAATGAGAACAGCAAGTGGCATGGGTGCCCAGGCCTAGGCAAGGCTGACTCGTACTGCTGGTAGAAGCCGCAGGAAACACTAGACCAGTAAGACTTCTTCAAGATTCATGGCTTCCTCAGCCCGAAGACACTGCGCCCCAACGAGCAGCTGGACAGTCCACAGAAGGAAGAAAGAAAGGCCGAGCAGGACATGGTCCTGGGTCTGGCGGGTATGCACCCAGAGACTCCAATATCCTTTAATTAAGGAATATTCCTTAAATTATAGTAGGATCCTTAATATGATTTAAGGTATATTCGTTAATTAAGGGATATTGGAACCCTAAACCCTAAACCCTAAACCCTAAACCATAAACCCTATTCCTTAATTAAGGGATATTGGAGTCTCTGAGCACGTTTCAGCCCCAGGTGTGCCATGCGCACCGGTGAGGATCTCGAGCTGCCTACGACCGTCGCCGATTTTGTGCCTTGGCTCATGCGGGAAAGTTAGGGTTTAGGGTTTAGGGTTTAGGGTTCAGGGTTTAGGGTTTAGGGTTCAGGGTTTAGGGTTTAGGGTTTAGGAAGTTGGGTTGCTATGGGGGTTTTGGGCCCAGGACTCTTAGGGAAGTTTGTGATCCCACCTCCAACCCCGCACTCGCAGAGTTCTAAATCGCGAACTCGAAACCCCACATCCTTCTCGGGCCCCAAGCAACATTTCAAAGTATCAAGCCGAACCCCAAAACCTCAAGTGCCCAAAACACACACAAACTATGTACAGCGCGAATATAATCAAGCACCTTGCGACTGCATTCATGGGTTCCCGGAGGAGGGTTGTTAGGTTTTTGAAGGTTTTGGCTCTGACATTCAGGCCTTACCTAGCTCCATGGGACAAACACAGGAGGCACCCATGTAGCGTAGCGACTAAGACCATTCTACAAAGTGCCTTTTTTTTGGCATGGCGGATAGTGCATTCTTCAAGTGCCTCCACGAACAGCCCAGGAGGCGCAGGCTAGGGCTCTCTTGAAGGCGGTTTTTTGGGAGTTTCCGAAAATAAGGGGTACCTTATTGTGGGGTCCTTATAATATGGATCCAATTATTTGGGGTACTATATTAGGGTCCCCTATTTTCGGAAACCCCCTTTTGGGATGGAAAAGGCTGTGGAATGTTCAAACAACGGGAGAGAGCCTTTTATCAGAGTTCATCCTGCAGCTCCACTAAGATCACAGGAACAGCGGGCCAACTCAGACCCGCTCCATTTTGCGAAGGGTAGATGGTTTTAGATGGTCGTTATAGCCTGGACAGTTCGGTAAGACAAAGCACCTCATGCCCAAGTGAAGCTACAATCGAGTCTAGACAGAATCCTCTTCACTTCCAGATCTCTTTGCGGCGTGAGCTCAAGGGTGTAATGAAGAAGGCAATTGGGCCTAAAAAGTTGCCAACACCATTCAACGGGATTCCTTATTACGGTTCTCATAGTACAATATGTCCCCATCGGCTTGGAACTGAAGACCCAGCTGTGGTACCAACATAAGGTTGCAAAGTTAAATCCTCAGCTGCCTCCGAGGCTTCGTCTATGGAGTTCGGAGACGGGCTGGGCATCATGATTCTGGAGGCAGCAGTCCAACCTTGCCAGGAGGGCTGCAGGGAATCTCCCCAAAATGCAAACCTCAAGACCCCAAAACCTACTCAACCCCGAGAACGTAAACCCAGCCCCAAACCCCGTACATCAAAGGATTGAAGATCGGCCATGAGGTATTGAGGGCAGTGCGAGAGGCCCATTGAGGCATGCAAGTGCCGTGTATTTTCACATTATTTACTGATACAAACCTTCAGACTCCGATTGTGTGTTGCGGTGGATCCACCGCTAAAACCCGGCGGCCTGCAGTTCTTTTGCCACCAATTCCAACGTTAAACCCCCAAACCTCTACAAATCTCGATCCTAGCCCTTCAACCTATATCCCCGAGCCCTAAACCCCAAAACTCGAAACTTCCTCGAGGTGCCTGCGGCTGTCTCCAAGAAGCCAATCAGCGGAAAGGATGGCGCCAAGCTTCTTGAGCTGTGCCTGGGTGAGGAATATGGGCTAGCGGGTTGAGGCTGCCCGTGGGTTTCATGCTACCGTTGCAGGGTCTCACATGTTGTATAAAAAGGGCGGGGTCTTATGGAGTTTGGATGCTCTTTGATAAAGGGTTTGCAGGCGTTTTCAGCATCCTAAGGTCTAGTCTACTGTCTGGTGCTTAGCAGGGAATGGGGAAATGGATTATAGGGACTACTATAAGGGACCTTAAGGGACTATCATAGGGATCCATTCCCCTCAATCCCTACTAAGCATTAGACAGTCCAGTAGGACGCTCGGGTCGAGCCCGGAGCGGCTTTGTGTTGTAAGAGGTAGGAACCTAGGGCTGTGAGGCTTTCGCGGTTCCCATGCACTTTTAAGATCATCTCACCGTAGTCTCACCCCGTTTAGGGGTTTAGGGTTTAGGGACCTAGAGTCGATCCAGACTGAAGCCCCGAAATCTCTAACCAAGAGTGGGTGGTTGCAGCAGCTGACTTTTTGCGGAAGTCCGCCTCCGGACTACTTCGATGGTGCCACAAGAGAAACGCCCTAAACCCTAAACCCGGGTTGCTGAGTCCGAAACCGTAGAGCTTCAAACCTTGCCAGAGATAAAAAAACCCAAACCCCTGAAGAATCCTGAACCCTAAACCCTAGACAACCCTAAACCCTAAACCCTATAGACCCTAAACCCTAACCCCAAACCCTAAACCCCAAACCCTATAAACCCTAAACCCTAAACCCTAAACCCTATAGACCCTAAACCCTATAGACCCTAAGCCCTAAGCCCTAAACCCTAGACCCTAT